TTGAAGGAGACCTGGTACACTTGTTGGGACTGTTCCCAGGGACTCGATGAGATTTTGGACAGCAGTTGGTGCCCAATCGCCCATCTGAACGGCTAGCGCAGATAGGGCTAAGCAAACTTGGACAAGGATATTGCGTGGTCCATTGGAGTATTGCTGGAGTGCACTGACAAGAGTGTCTCTCAGCAGTGGAAGTTGTGTGGAAGGTAGTTGATTGAGATCGTAAATAACCTTTATCACATATTTGAGCCAAGTTTTTAGTCATTAGTGACGTGAATCCTACCTTGGATTTCAGCGTCTGTGCAGCGAAGGTTTTGAGCGCATCGGGAGAATCTGGATTGATCAACAGTGTGGTTGAGGTTTCCCATGCCTCGATCTACACCGACAGTTCGTTAGCGAACAGGTACAACTTGCGCAAAAGGAAAGATTTACGGTGTGTTGGAAGTCCTGAAGCCAATCATTTGCACTCGCTATCTGTTGTTTGTCCGTAGAACTTGCAAAGACACCTAATGCAGCTGTGATTTTTGTAAGAGTTTCTGGATTACTGATTGTGGCCATGACGGCACAAAAGGGGCGTAAGTGGCAAGACAAAGAAGTTTGCCACTTGACTCTCCACTTCATTCCCCATGTCTCCTCGTTCTCCAGCCATGCAATGCTCTGTTAGAGTAGAGAATTTGCACCCGCAAGGTAAAAATTCCTCTCTTTCGCTTCTTATCGTTTGCGCTGATGTTCCAAAGTCTCCGTTGCGGATGTTGAAGAACTCTTCCGGACCCAAATTGGTACTAACCTCTGGCTGTTGAGTTGCCGCTTGCTCACTCCTGCTACAGGATCTATAACAGAGACCAAGGAACATGTCATTGCCAGCACCCTTCAACGCTGGATCGAGGTTACCTTTGAGAGTGAAGAAGCTGCTAAGTTCGTCCCCCTCTCCTCGACTAGTTGACTTTCCTGCTCACGTGCGGTAGACGGGCGATCACCCTCACTGGCCACAATCTCCAAGGCCTCCCTATGTACGAGCCGTGAAACCCTTTTTTTACTTGCGCTAATACCGTTTAGCTTTGTGGGACTAATGTTCGACCCTGACCTACTGGAAGATGTACCCTCTCTTTCAGCCAACCCTGCAGCGGACGAGACGCGTCGTAATCTTTATGTTCTTGGATTACCTCACGACTTCACCCTGTAGGTGATATTAGGAGCTGCGAACTACTCTAACCTTTTCTCAGCGATGAATTCAGAACATTGTTCCAGCCCTACGGAAGTATTGAACATGCCGTCATCCTAGCCGTTCTAGACAATTTCTCTCGTCGTCGGGGTTTCGTCGTCTTCTCATCTCACGCTCAAGCTCGTGTCGCAATGCGTGCTATTCATAAAACCACAGTCAAGTAAGAGGCAGTCATCATTCTCCCACTAGCCATTGCTCACACCGCTCTAGAGGGCATCAGCTCAATGTGTCATGGGCAGTCGTTCAACGATCATCGGGCTTTTTAGATGGTGCCGATCGCACCTTGGACGCCTTCTCAGATGCGAGTAACAGTGTCAAGAAACCTCAACAGCCTCCCCGGGTTAATGGCCAATTGGGAGTCACGACTTCCTCTTTGCTTGATCCTCCTCATCCACCGCTCTCTTCGAACCCTCGATTGCCCGATGGGGAGATTAAACTTGCTTCCAGTTCCTTCCTCGAAAATATGGGCACAACTTTTGCCTCCACACTTCTGGTTTCGAACCTCTGCCCCTGGCTTTTCCAAACCTACATTGATATCCATGCACTCTTCGCACCTTATGGACAGGTTAAGCGCATCACTATCATCCCGCCGTTGCAACCAGTCGACCCCGGCGCTCGCCCATCCCATGCTGCCCTTGTGCAGTATGACGACTTACAAAGTGCTCTTTCCGCGTTATATCAAGTTAATAGTAGACCCTTTGGTACCCGTATTGCACGAGCAAGTCTTTTTCGAGATGCGATAGAGCGCGTCATGCAACTTCAAACTCCGACGCCCCCAAAGCCGACGCCTAAATTGTCCACTACTGGTGTTTCTCTCGCTCAAAAGCAAAGACGTACCATTGAAGCATCTCAAATCAACGAGTCTGGACCTTCTCATGCTACCACTCGTGTTAACGTTCATTAATTTCTCTTGCACTCTTTCCGGCTGTTTCTTTCTTAGGGGTGAGTAACCGGGGTATCTTGGCAACGGCGTATCTAATACAACTTGACTAACTAGGTTCATTCGTTTAATTGTACTCTACGTCATCATGCAACTGCCAACCCACCTCACTCTCGTTATGGCCTCATTACAGGCATTGTCTCACTTTCGGCATCACCTCAATCGCGGTACTGTCTCACTATCGATATTGTCTCACTTCCTGTATCGTCTCAAGTCCGTTTCCATCTCACTTCCGCCCCAGCAATACGTCACCAGCATCCATCCCCTTCTCTTTATTGGGTTACCTTATTTGGCTTTCCGCACGTTTGATCCACTATGATTATACACGTCAGGGAGCTTTCTTTGTTCTACTTAATTATATTCAAGCTTACCCATTCGCCATTGATTGACCCCGCCTGGTCACTCCCGATCGCGGCGCGTCGCAATGAGCGATAATAGACGCGCACAAAAAGATTAAAAAACTCCATTGTATGGACCTCTTTCTGGTGGACTCTATCCATTAGATGTTTTATGAATACAGAACTATAAACATAACAAGTACTAAAGCGCGAGTGTAGTCTCCTTTAGTGCGTGAATCATGAGATCATTTGATCCACTATCACCTAGCAGATGTTAGTTTCGTCAATAATGGACTTCGTCCTATCCACCTTTTCCACTCCCCGTCTCTTCCGTAAACGGCAATAACTACACCCAGAGCTGCAACGACAACCACTCCACCAATGACTATGACACTTCCCCTCCCAGTACCGAAGAGATCCATTGAGTGTCCTTTTTGTTGAATCTTCTTTTGATTTCGACGTTGTCGCTGTAGCTTCGATTCTTCCACCTCCCGTTCCATGGCTTCTTCGTCAGGGTCCTTCCAAGGGCGCACTACCAACTCGGGTCTGAGCACCATTTTCTCGGCCATATCATCGCTGATCACGTCGTGGACTGTACCCATCCATAACGAGGAGCCTGATTTTACTTCAGTATTGGATTTCCTATTCAATTGACTCCACGTAAAGATTACGCTTTGCGGGCCCATAATTTGTGACACTTGGATAGACGATGGAGGGTGTTCCTGGAAAATCCGGTCCGCTTCTGCTAGTAGTTGAGTCAATTGCAGGCGTTGTTTGCGCTCGGAAGTTGGGACTTGAATATCAGCTATCGAATCGGTGACCGAGTGGGATAGGGGCGGTTTCTCCTCTACGAATGATGATTCAAGCGGCGAAGATGGCTCTAGAGGTGGGAAGTCGACGAGAGAGTCAAGGTTGGGTTTGTTGGTGTTCACGGGCGATATGGCGGGGAGAGTCGGTGATAGTCCTGGTGAGGGTATAGATTCAGCTTTTGTAGATTCCGCCGGGGTCCAGCTCTCTGACGAAATCGAGGCGGTACTAGCTCCTACCGCGGTCCACGATTGCGAAGTCGACAGGTCGTTGGGAGAAAGAGAGCGAACATCGGTATCTGTCCTCTCATCTGTATGAGACGAGTCTTGCGACATTGAAGCTAGGGAAATTTCCGGCTCTTCCTTCTTTGGAGTGATACCACTCGGCTCGTCCTCAGTCGAGGAGTCGTCGGAAATCTCTGGTAAATTGCATAGTAGAGCGTGGAGCATTCCCTCGTCTCCTGCTTCATAAAGCTGCCTCACTTCATCTTTGCGTACGAGAAGTAGGACTGTCGCGAGATAGACGATGGCGATAGGAGGTCGTGATAATAGATAGTCGAATACATGCTGAATTAATGGGAGAGTCGGCATATCGTGAGAGAAATAAGTTAAGAGGTTGGAGAGGGTGAAGTATGGTAGTGGTGATGCGCCAGAAAGTTGTCCAGCGTATTCGGGATCGACTGCCCTGAGTAGTTGTTTTACGAGCCTATTCCACATCGTCAATATAAAGCAATAGATTATCAGAAGTGACTTGCCGTAATAGACCAACAAGGGGCTCCAAGCCTGGACCCATCGAATCGCGTAGTCTATGTAGACTCAATTTTTCTGCTGCCAAGCTGACGTCCTCCGTCATCTCTTCCTCGGACTGTTGCCCTGTCTCTTGTCGATGTTGGTCGAATGTCAACAGTAGGACAGAAATAATGTCGTGATATCCCTATGGCAAGGCTTTCAGCGATACTCTCGGAATACCAATTATACTGACCTGGAAGTAGGCCAGCTTTGGTCTCTTTCGTAATACATTCACAATTACGTGATGCAATTCAGCCTTGAGGTCATCTTTGGACTTTTTTGGTATCTCATTTTCTGGGGTAAATATTAGAGTGCTGTTTTGCTGGTATTGCCCGCAGTCAACGCACCGCCTGGGTAAAGTACGAAGCTGCGATCCGTATCTAGCCCAACTTGACGCTCGTCTTTGTGAGGCTCAAGATCCGCTAAGGATTTCTTTGTTGTAGCTTGCTTTTCTGAGGTGACCTTTTCTGTCTCCACTGGCAGGGTCGATGATTCTTTGCGCGTGCGTACTGCCTTGGTCGGTCTTGCATTCAAAAGAAATTTCCTATTAATCCATTAGTCTCAGATTGATATGCCAAGGACAATTGTAGAGTAAAACCGAAACATCTACCTACCACGCTTCCACTCTTGCCCTCCCAAAACCACCTGGCAGCAGTGAGATAGCTCTCAATGCATCCCAATCTCCCAATTCAATCGCTCTTTTGACTTCGTCTTCTCGAGCGCTATCATCACTGGACAGCGCGGCCTTGCTGTCAATACGTGGAAGAGTGATGTCAATAGCCGGCTTTTCTTCAATATGTTCCATATTTATAAACAACGGCTACCGGTGATATTTGAAACGGGTAACTGTGATTTACCGATGTAATGGAGGATCCTTGTCAAAGTCGACTAATGTTTAAGAGTCCTCACGTGCTAACGGGGTTGTGAACAGGGTATGTAGGAGGCAGGTTGTTGACACTTGGTTCTTTTGGTCGGACACACCATCTCAAGTTGTTTGAGATTCTGGATTTTCTTCACAAATAACTCAAGTCGACCACGAAAACTTTAGTGAATGTCTGTCGACATATACCGAAAGATCGATATCAGACGCGCGGCATCGGCTCTATCTCAATTCAAAGGATGATTACCCCTTGATAATAGCATTCAATCCTTTTCATAACCAAATGACGGCGTCTAAATGAATGAAATCGGAAGTCCGATGTCTACGGAGAGACCTAGTTCAAAATCGGCACGGGGTACGTGGACTCACCAGTTGGAGGCAGGTTGCAGCAGAGTTAGTTGGACCCATCCTCTCATATCTCTGAAACCCTCTACAATCTTGGAGCACACCATGCCCTCATCTGTCGTGACAGTCAGCCAGCCTACGAAGAAGAGCGAGGTCGGCGCGCCCCGTCCTGCCCATCATAGGAATGACACTCAGAGTCTATTCACGAATCCATGGCCTTCTTACCAGTACGTATCAGCTAGTTATTTCATGACACAGCAATTAACACATGATGATAGGGAATTTCCTGTTAGCGCAATTTCCCGTATGATGGCCGGGATGCTTTTCTCTCCACCAAAGATTCCGCAGGATGTTGAGAAAATACTCAAGCTACAAACGCCAAACTGGGGTGAAGGTTCAAAGAAGGAAGATCTCAAGGCCACCTGGCTTGGGCATGCGTGTTGGCTCGTCGAGCTGCCGGCACCTGAAGGTGCAACCCGCGGTCCAAGGATTCTCTATGACCCTGTGATGTCACACCGCTGCTCTCCATTTTCCTTTATGGGTCCTGCACGATATACTAGTAAGTTGAATGTTGGTCTTATGAAAGAATTTGTTCACCAACCCGACTATTTAGGACCACCATGCACAATGGAGGAAATCCCAGAGATCGACATCGTCGTGATATCTCATAACCATTATGACCACATGGACACTCCTACACTGAGTACCCTACTCCGTAACCACAACCCCCACTTCTTTGCACCTCTCAACAATGATGCGACATTCCAAAGTGTCGGAATCGATCCATCCCGATTCCATTGCTTGGATTGGTGGGACGACAGAGAAGTCACTGTGGAACTTCCATTGGCTTCTGTTCAACCCAGTGAAACCACACCAAAGGCAATGTTCCGCGTAACCTGCACGCCCTGTCAACACCAGTCTGCCCGGACCGCGTTCGATCGCAACCATACCCTGTGGTCATCATGGGCGGTCGAAGAGCTCCCTTCACCAGGACAGACATCATCCAGACCTGGTTTCAAAATCTGGTTTGGCGGCGATACGGGATATCGCTATGTTGGACATGGTCAGGATGAAGACAAGGTACCCTTCTGTCCCGCTTTCAAAGAGATTGGCGAAAAGTTCGGATCCTTCGATTTGGCGTTGATTCCCATTGGAGCGTATAATGTAAGGGCAGCAATGAGCGGATTCCACGCAAGTCCCAGCGATGCCGTTCGAATATTCCAAGATATCAATGCGAAGAAGGGCATCGGAATGCACTGGGGGTACGTGTTCTTTCGGCACTTTAATACATCCTCTTCTCTTTGTCATTCGGCGCTCAGCTATCCTAACGCCCTCTGTTCGATAACATTGCTAACCATCGCATTCTCTAACAGGACCTGGACTTTGACATTGGAACCTATACTCGAGCCACCAGAGCTATTGGCATCCGAGGCCAAAAAAGCAGGATTGGCCGATGACGCGTTCACCGTTTGTGGACTGGGCGAGACAGTGATTACTGCGCACTCTTAATGACGACCTCTACGGCCGTACAGTGAACCGGTATACCAAACAGATGGATGTTGATTGGTGTCTCCTATTGAGGACGGATAGGAATACTCTTTCAGATAGTTTATTTATATTCTGTGTAATATGCTAAGCGCGTGGTAATCCAACCAGACCTTCCTAGTGCGCTTGTATAGCAAACTGTCACGTATGGTATTGGTCCATAAAGAATCTGAGCGCTCGGTCCTCAAATGCCAGCACCGGCATGTATACGCGTCTCAAGCGCTCAAAACAACCTGAAAAGCAGGAGGCAGGTTGGTGACTCTCCGATGGTCAAACCTTTCTTCTCGAGCCTCTGGAAATCTCTCAGATTTTCCACAGTCCTCAAATCGACCATGGCTGCTTCTGTTGTGACTGTTAGCCGGTCTCCAAAGAAGGATGAAGTTGCCGTACCGCGTCCTGCACACCACGCAAACGACACCAAAAGTTTATTCCGAAACCCATGGCCTTCGTACACGTAAATATCGCTGCTGGTCTATTCATTGTCTGGGTTATTAATCTATCGTTGCAGAGACATGTCACCGCTGAAGTTGACCAGCTTTATATTCAGCCTACAAACCTTACCACCCAAGCCTGAAGCAAACATGGAAGAGCTATTAAAGCTCCAAAAACCCAATTGGGGTGCAGATGCAAAGAGCAACGAGTTAAAGGCAACTTGGTTGGGCCATGCTTGCTTCCTTGTCGAATTACCTAAGCCGGAAGGTGCCAAACGAGGCGCACGGATTCTCTACGATCCCGTCATGTCGCATCGTTGCTCTCCATTCTCGTTTATGGGTCCAGCACGTTACACCAGTAAGCCGAGTCATCATCAACCGGGCATCTTTACTGATTCATGCAGGACCACCTTGTCCGATGGAAGATATCCCAGAGATCGACATTGTCGTCATCTCTCATAACCACTATGATCACATGGACACTCCTACTCTAACCACTCTTCTTGAGAAACACAACCCCCACTTTTTCGCGCCGCTCAACAACGAGGCCACCTTTGCCAGCGTCGGAATTCCCGAATCTCGATTCCACTGCCTGGACTGGTGGGACGATCGAGAGGTCAATATCGAGCTCCCATTAGACACAACCTCTGGTTCACAGGCATCAACTCCAAAGGCTTCCTTGCGCATCACGTGTACTCCTTGTCAACACCAGTCGGCTCGTGGAATGTTTGACCGCATGAAGACACTTTGGTCGTCGTGGGCAATTGAAGAGGTCTCGCCATCAGGTTCGGCTTCTAAACCTGGTTTCAAAGTCTGGTTCGGAGGGGACACGGGATACCGATATGTTGGAGTAGGTCAAGACGAGAACGAGGTCCCTTACTGTCCTGCTTTCAAGGAAATTGGAGAAAAGTTTGGGTCGTTTGACTTGGCGTTGATCCCCATTGGAGCATATCAACCTAGAGCTGCAATGAGTGGGTTCCACGCGAGCCCTAGTGACGCGGTCCGAATCTTCCAAGACATCAAGGCAAAGAAGGCCATCGGAATGCATTGGGGGTACGTGTTTTTCCATTACTTTAGGTC